CTGTGGAATGCGCGGCCTCTGAGGGATATTGCAGAAGCACCACAGTTGCTCTTGAGTTCTAGCCCTCGTCATCATCTTCGGTTCTTATTTTGCAGCACCTAAAATGTTATCCGCATAAAGAAATTGCGTTGTACTTGTATTCCAAAGCGCAATTACAGGACTTGGCAAAAAGCCAAGAGAGCTGCACGCGACCGCGCCGCGCGGATGGTGTTAGCATAAACGTGAGGGCGGTGTAGCAAGGAATTACGACTTTCCCACGGCCCCGTACTCTGACCCCGTGCAGTTTTGGGCGGGGGACCACGACACATCGACAGCTGGGGGCTGATAGTCTCATACACCCTCAATGTGTTTGAGCGTACCATGTGTCTTTAATAGTGCCCGTCACAGTTACAGTAAGATTTTGGTTCCAGCAGGTCATATAGGGGACAAGACTCACTGATCGGCGACAGAAAGGAATAGAAACTGATAGGGGCTGATAAACGGCATTGCCGCCGTCATTCTTCTCCAAGTCTGTACTTCTTTCATACTCCGAAAACATAAAGGTTCAGTGATATGAACATTGGTGACGGGTTACAGAAGATTATATCAGTTGATTCAGCTGGTGATCTCCGCTTAATTTCTTACCTCTACCCTACAAACATGTAGCGCGCCTTTGATACGGCATATAATGCGCATGAAACGGGAAAAGTCAGAAAATTCCAATTAAAAAAGTTGGACGTCAAATACGCTCCCTATTGTGCCCTGGACAAAAATGATATTTCAGGAGAGGTAGATTGCCTTAACCTCAGAAGGGTTAGGGTCAGCAAGGTCAACGGTATAGTGTGGGATATGCTATCGATAGTAAGCTCTGTAGGAACCCCCATAAGATGCATGCAGCAGTGCGGCTGGCCGACATTCTTTCTAGGCAGCTTTTGATAGCACCACTCTTCGTCTCATGTGTGCTAGTCAAACTGGTATAGTAATAAGTTGCTGAAAACAAGGATAATTAGTAGATGAAAACAGTGATAATTAGTAGGTTAATATAACAACAAGGGTTATATGAACCTACAAATTATTGGGTTCAGCGGAAGGTCCTGCAACAAGTTCAACGGAATTTCAGGCTGGATGCCCCCCTGATTGCTTCTGCGAATCTGTAACTCTTTGTATCACTTGGTAAAACGTCCAAGAACAGATTACAGTAATGAGACTCCAAAGCGGCGGGGAAGTTATCATATGGATGATGAGTTAGCGAAAGTCTTGACCCCAGGCGAGACCGGAACCCATATCTCAGTTTGCTCAGCGAGTGGGCTATCCGCTACAGGGAGCCACAAGGGACACCTCTTATCCTGTCCATAGTGTCAGCTAGGCTTTCTTGCCGTAGTCTAACAGCAACGACGAGCCTAGAAACATGTAAGGACTTCAGCCACGCGGTTCACTGCCGCTGTTGACTGACCGGTTCATCGCGTGAAGCGTGTCAGTCCTGTAAGGCTTAAGTAATCAAGCTAAGAGGGCAACAGGGCAACCTAGGTAGCGTACTGAGAACGCAACTGCGACGATGAACAGCAGTTCTCATAAAAAATTAGTCTGAATACCTTCGAGTATTCCGATTTTTCAAGAACTGTCGCCCACGTGTCGCGGGACTTTCTAATGACATATTGAGAAGTAATATCAGGTTGGAGCATGGTCTCTGGAACCCTTGTTTGGGCCTTTTCTGGAATATGGATGAAAGTTCAAGATGAGCCCAGTGAACAGATACGAAAAACCCAGTGCGGCATTCAATGCCTTTTTTACTTTTGAAATTACATGACCTCACTACGGGAAACATTGAACTTGACCAAAGGCACGTTCGGTCCTAGCACCTCAATAATACCCCTTAAACCAAAACGAACGATGCATATCGAAAAACACACCGTTCCATCTTCGTCTTCTGAGATAACGATTCACAGGTTCCAGATGTTCAAAAATGACGACTTCTACACTGATGAACATGATCGTGCTGGTCGGCATGTACTTTTCAATGAATCCCGCCCTATGGAGCTCGTTGAAGAAGAACTACGATAAACCTGTTCAACCTTGAAAGCTTCTA